TTAAAGAGTTGGTGTGCCGCAGAAATCTAGAATTCTTTTCAGTGCGTCGGCAAACTGCAAAACTTGAAAACCAGTTGTTGATAATTACCCACGCAAATGTCAGTGCACTGCACGCGATAATGTATGAGCACTGGCGAGTTGATATATATGGAAATATAAGAATTACGATTTAAACAACATGAGTACAGACGCATGCTATGCCCTTCAGGGTCAACTGGTACAATTATGGATGGTATTGCGGCTGTAATAGTGATCTCTTAATGTAATGGTTACATTTCATAGTGAATCAAAAAATATTTTAGGTATTGCCATATATCATCACGATTAATTAAGGAATATATAACTGAAAGCGAAAAAGTACCGCGTAAAATTACATCGTCTTGCAGTGAAATTGTAGATTATGATAATATTGTCTAACAATTTTAATCACTGCAAAAAATATAGAATACATAAGCAGTTTATGACTTTTTTTAATCGGTTAAAAGGTTACGTGATCACAACAAAACGCTTTGGGTAAGAGCGTTGGGCGGCCTGGCAGGCGTCGCTACGCAGCAAGCCGGTCTAGCATCAGATGGCACAGGTGCTCGAATATGATGAGACTGTCTGTATTGTGATGCAGGTGGATTTAAAGCCATCGAACCTCGCGGCAGTGTGTTTCCAGATCTTTGGATTTGTACCTTGCCAGTTGCGAAAGGGGACTATCATCATCGTGAGCGGATTTTTCATCAACGGACTTTTGGCCAAACATCCATGTCGCCGACAACCATTTAGCTGGAGCTATGTTGCACCTGCTGGCGATCGAGGACGGGCGTTACTGTACCTCAAGATTTTTCGGTTTGGTTTGATTATCATGGGATTTGGGGGCATCCCCTGCCAATCTGTCAGCAAGCTCATTCCTTCTGATGACTCTGTGGCTGTGGATCCACAAGTGGTTACGTGCCGGCCTCTCAACCGAGGGAACGGCAATCGCGCCCACCCAGGCGCGAGAAGTTGCAATTGTCACCTGAAGGTTACGCTGTGACCGGGCACCACGGCGGGTAAGGAGTAAGCTCAGCTGACACACGTTGATCGAGTCGGCATTAGTCGACAAAGGCTGGTGTTCCCTTATGGGCATGGCCCGGGTGAGGCTCGGCTTCGTATATCGGACTTATCCATAAGTGACTTCGGCTTTGATATGATTGTCAGCGGTGCATCCGCCCGCACAATTATTTGTCTGCTCACTTTTACAAGCTAAAGACCGTGTACCACTCTAGGTCGCCAGGAGTAAACACCGAGGAGACATTAATTGACAGGGGTATAACCCCAAATCATTAAATCAAGCCGAAAAATCCTGAGGCACAGTAACGCCCGTCCTCGAACGCCATCACGTGCTACATAGGTTCCTGTCACTGGTCACCCACGTCCATACCCGTCGAGCGTATTTGAGTCAGACTCGTACTTTAGTTACTTATTTTGAAAAGCCACAGGACTTGCCATTCTCCTGCAGTTTCATAGAGAGGAAACGAGAACCTTCCCCTCGGCCAGATGGTACTCAGACGCCACAGGCTATGAGCCACTGGCACTCCCTGAAACAATTAATAGAGGTGCCGAAGTCATTTTTCACAGGTTACCATTGTGCATGGCAAATTATAGAAACAACTGACAATGCAGACAGGTGCTACAAGCATTCTGGCGAGCCGAACGCCACCATTATTTACAGAATATGAGCTGACAATATCTGAGACAGGGACCACCCACCATAGCCGCCGGGCTGGTAAAAAGATTATGCCACATGCTTACATCGTGGCGGCAGGAGCGCCTGCTGGCAACCCGGCCACCACGGTAAACATTGAGTGAAAGAGAATCAATTGAGACAGCCAGTAACCTCTACGCTAGAGTTGAAACTGTTCTTTCCTGACGAGACGCGAACCGCCGACCACTCGATTACCCCTGTACTAACCCGGACGCTTGAAATTATTAAGGATAAATGATTTCAATTCAGTTGTTTAGTTTGATTTGCGAAAGCTAGCTTCGCCTGGGTCTTACATGAATGTGATCCGGCCTGTGTTAGCTATTTAGAGCTGCCTCAACTGATTCATCATTTAATGCTTACCGTTTTCCGCGAATTGCCTCCCGACTAGTACAGTGGTAATGTGCTTGCCTCTCATTCATGGGGTCGGCGGTTTGCGTCCCGCCCAGGCTCGAGAAGTTTCAATTGTCATCTGAAGGTGACTGCTGAAGGGGGCACCATGGTAGAGAAACTCAGATGAGCTAGCATCAGCTGAACCCACGTTATTCGAGTGGGCATTAGGCGACTACAGCTTCGCACATCTGATTAATCCTTATACTTCACGACTTCGAATGCGTTTACACAGCATAACGACAATAGATGAAATAAAGGAATGGAGTGTTATGTAGGATTCAGTTTTAGTTATATATTTAGATATATGTTTTCCAAAATTTCATTTTTACTGTCTATTGGGGTACTAAACAGTCTTATATCCTCCTATATCTATGACCGTTATCATGTGATGATTTAAATGATAACAACAGTAATAGTAATAATAATGATAATAATGATAGTAATATTAATGATAATAATGATAGTAATATTATTGATAATAATGATAGTAATATTAATGATAACAGCAACATTACTGATGATGATAATGATATAATAATAATAATAATAATAACAATAATAATAATAATAATAATAGTTATAATAGTAATAATAATCATTGTACTGATGATAATGATGATAACAATAACAAGGAAAAGAAAAATATTATAGCATATATTATCACTGACACGCACATCTCGTTCATAGACCAACACCCCATGTGAAATCA